CCGGTTGTCTTTGAAAGATGGGTCAGTGCCCAGTTTGTTTGGACCAGTTTGCTCCTCCGAATCACAGCCTGTAAGTATGATTAATAATTGTTGCTTTGATGTTCTGTCGAGCGTGCAAAATGTTGTGTTGTGTTGTGTATACAGTCGGTGCAGCTGTAAGTCTCTGGCTAACTCACGTTATAGTTCTGCTAATCAGCTGTTGGCCTACTATTGTCTAGAAATGTGTCAATTAATATAGAATATCTGTCACATTACTTGGACTCATAATAAAGGAAAGCAATACGTTGGTTTACAAACTGCAGTGCTTTATCAGTACTCTTTGTCTGTGTTCGGCTAACGCATATACCATTATTGTTTGGGTCTTTACTACCAAGCTGTGGGTCCGGTTCGCTAACATAAGTGTAAAACAACTTTTTCCCCTCTGATTCTTTCTATTTAGAACAGAATGGAGCACTATTATTAATACAATAGGATGTATTATTGTATTGTATTATTGATAAGTCGACATGCGCTGTACGCAGTAGACCAATCACAACAGACTGGGCCATCGGACCAATCAGAGCAGAGTAGCTTCATGCAAAGGAGGGGTTTGGAAAGATTAATCTTTGAATAAATTGTTTGCGAGTCGTTGAGAAATAACATAAAATTAAATGCATATTATAAGAAAATTAAAGTGTTTTTTGACCTTGCATGCATGTAAACCTGTTGTTGGGGACTCCCAAAACCAAATTATGAACATTTCAAATACCATAATAGGGCCGCTTTAACATTATTATTATATTTATAATAAATAATAATTTTATATTAATCCACCTAGCAACCACCCAGATCGCCTTAGCAACACCCTGGCAACCACCCACAACACATTAGCATCATGGCAGCAAAGAATGCGTTTCTCAAACAAACGCAAATTGTTCATATTGTTACATGCAATCAATTCAGAACCCAGAAAGTTTGAGGGTTAAACTGATAAAAACAGATGAATTGATGAGAAATGTAACCATTTAAGCAATCATACGAAACCATGTGACCTTTAAAGCAGCTGTGTGGACACTGGCTCACTGTTTGACCTTTAAAATAATTGATTTTAGGATTTGTCAGCCTACTGGAAACGTATGTTAATGATATCATGATCGCTGGTGGGGCTTTTTTCAAGAGAAAATAATGTTAAAAGAAAAAGCTAATGAGACTAGGCAAAAATGGGAATTCAGCCAGGTCACGACTGGGATTTAACAACTAAATCCAATTAAACACACACACACAAACCAACATGCTTTTGACCTCAACAAGCGAGCAGCTTTAAAGCAATATTTGACCAAAAAAATGAAAAGTCTGCTGTTATTTACGCACCCTTGTGTTGTTATAAACCCACACACTTATTTATTTCCATGCAACAAAAAGTGAGATGTTTTCAAGAAGCGTTTCATTCTTTGGATTTTATATGGTACTTTTTATTGTCGCTTTATTGTTCTTCATTGTTTCACAAAAACACAACATGAGGGTGAATAAATAATGAGACTTTTCCTATCTGGGTCAAATGCTTGTCTAACATGTAACCAACTGGTCTCACATGACTGTATTGTGAGTTACAGCATCTCTGGCGTCGGTTGAGCCGGTTAAACTGGCTCAGAGAGAGCAACACTTGTCTCCTGTAAGGTTTGCAGTGGTCTGTCCCGTCCTGAACTGACATCAACGCACCTGGAGGATCAACAAGCAAATCCAGCGTCCTCTAAAACAACGCACAACCAGCAAGCATCTGTGCTGCATGTGTCAATGTAAACACAACAGCGAGAGTTAATAACAATAAACAAGCAATAAAGACACTTTTGAAGTCCTGCTGAAACTGATTATTGTGTCTATGGTTGCAATAGGGAACCAGTTCTAGTTCTGAACCATTCTAGTTTTTAAACACTACAAAATATATATCAATCAGTTCTGTTGGTGATAGTATTGTTATTGTTAAAGCTGCAGTCCGTAACTTGTGTTCAAAATTTACAAAATTTATATAATAAGCGAGTACACCATGAATCCATTTTCCAAACCGTGTTTTTGGCTTGTCCTGAATCACTACGGTACACCTATAATAAGTGTTTATATTCGCACTATTTAGACCGGTTCGGGTAGGTACCGCTGCGGAGTAGCCCAGTACCTGCGTTATTCGCCATAGACATAAACAGAGAGAAGTAGCTCCGGCTACAATGTTCTTCCGCAAGACGCACGCAGTTCTGTTTATTAACTGCTAGAGCGCCAAAAGTTACGGACTGCAGCTTTAACTATCAAAAAAAAATAAATAAATCAATCAGTTCTGTTGGTGATAGTATTGTTATTAACTACCAAAAAAAAAAAAAACTACCAAAAATAGTAATCGGTTCTGTTGGTGATAGTATTGTTATTGTTAACGATCAAAAAAAATATATATATATATATTAATCAGTTCTGTTGGTGATAGTATTGTTATTGTTAAATACCAAAAAAAAAAACTACCAAAAATATTAATCAGTTCTGTTGGTGATAGTATTGTTATTGTTAACGATAAAAAAAAACAAAAAAAAATATTA